GGACGACCACGACAGCGCAACCGCCGAGAGGCGGGCCTCGACCGGCGCAGGGGGGGAGGAGCGGCTTCGACCGGCGCAGGGCAGGCCTCGTCGCCCCGAGGCTGCTCCCGCTCTGCGCTGCTTCCTCCTCCTCCTCCTCCTCCCTCCTCCTCCTCCTCCTCCTCCTCCTCCTCCTCCTCATCCTCCTCCTCCTCCTCCTCCTCCTCCTCCTCCTCCTCCTCCTCCTCCTCGCTCCTCGCTCCTCGCTCCTCGCTCCTCGCAGCTCTTCGAGGCGGCCCGCCGTTCTCCCTGTGGCCGTCGCCGCCCCGGCAGCCTGCCCCCTTCTGGCGGCCGCGAGCACTGCGCTCCGGCCTCGGCCGCCGGGCCCTCGGGCGCCTCGCAGTTCTCGCAGTCTTCGTCGTAGTTCTCCTCCTCCTCCTCCTCCTCCTCCTCCTTTCCTCCTCCTCCTTTTCCTCCTCCTCCTCCTCCTCGCCTCCTCTCCTCCTCCTCTCCTCCTCCTCCTCCTCCTCCTCCTTCGCAGATCCAAGAAATCCGCGTGGGCCGTCGAAAGCTTGTGCCCGTGCCGTTAGTCAGTCTTCTGCCTCCGGGGTCTCGAGAAGTGGCGACGGAGGTTGTTCGTAGCTTTCGGCCTCTCGGGGCCCTCACCAGGCCTCGGGATTGTCAGAAAGTGGCTGGGGACGGAACACCGATCTCGGGGAAGGGGTCGGGGGATGGGGGGCCGTGTCTCGACGGAAGCGAGGCGTCGGGTGTCGGCGTCGGCCACTTGGCTGCACGAGCCACAGCCCTGACCTCCAGCCGGCCAGCGGAGCCAAGCGTCCGGAAGAGCGCGTGGGCAGAGGAGTGCGCGATCGGCAGCTCGATCGGGAGAGGTACGCAGGGAGAGAGGGACAACGGAGCGCGTCACGATGGTGTAGCATAATTTCAGCTGGGGCGCCCGGCTGTTTCATGAAAGGGAGCGATCACGATGGCGAGGCATAAAAGTGGGTCGCCCGACTGTGATGTCCCAAGCGCTGCGTTCACTTGCCATGACCTGCAGCGCAGGGAAAGAACGCAGGCGGTGGGCCTTTGTCGCGCTCGGCCTCTGGGGAGCGCCCTGGGCGGGGCCCCCGCCCGTGAGAAGCGCCCTGGGACGGACGGGCGGTTCCTGGAAAGTGGTCCTCCTCCTCCTCCTCCTCCTCCTCCTCCTCCTCTTCCTCCTCCTCCTCCTCCTCCTCCTCCTCCTCCTGCTCCGGCTCCTGCTCCTCCTTGGAAACCATCGAGACATCGGAGGTCTGGGAGCGTGCGTCTTCAGGTCTCTTGTGGTGGTCGCATTCGCCGCCGTGGTCTCTTGGCCCCGCCTCCTGCTGCGGCCGCTGCGCAACCCCCCCTCCCATGTGCCGGTCGAAGTCCGCCTCTTGGCGGGGTTGCTCCGTCGCGGTCGTCCCGTCTTCCTCTTTCTCCGCCACGCGGCGGCCTGGTGGTATCTGCTGGATGTGTGTTTTTGTCTGTTGATCAGTTCTTCTGGAAAGCACCGTGAAGGAGCTCAATACCCAGACCCCCGACGTCATGATTTGTTCATGGCGTCGACCCCAGAGGTCTGGACCCCTTCCCCTGGACCGAGTTTAAATCCTGAGTCGTTTTTTGAGTGTCCCGGGGCCCGGCGAGGTCCCCCAGCAGCTGAAGATAGCGAAACACTTCCCGTCGTGATTTTTGTTGCGACTCGAGGAGGTCTGGGTAGGCCGATGGAGTGCGCGGCCACGATCGCCCTGCGCGGGCCGCTGGCCGGCCCGTTCCCTTGCAGGGACGACTCGCGCCCCGACGACGACCGACGACCAACGACCACGACGACCCACGACGACGACGACGAGGGCGACGACGACGACGACGACGACAACGACGACGAGGACGACCAACGACCGACGACTACGACGTCGTTTCGTCGCCCGTCGTTCGCTCGCTCGTCCCCCGCCCCGCGGCGGGCTCGCTGTGGGCGCGGTGCCGCTTGCGGCTTCGTGCGCCAGGTGGGCTCGGCGCAGCGCCAGGCCCGCAGCAGAACGCTCGTTCGACGCTGCCCGGCCAGCGCGCACCCGCACGTGCGCGAGGCGTGCCAGAAGCGGCCTCGCCCTCGCGGATCGGACCCAGACATCTGGCGTCTCGAAGAAGACCGAGAAGGAGGCTCTTCATCGTTTTCGGCCTCTCGGGGCCCTCGCCGGGCCTCGAGACCGTCAAAAGACGACTCGGGATGGAAAACCGGCAAGCCTGTCCACTCAAGTTTCGCCATTGGTACTGAATTTCATCTTCCATCCGCACCAGCATGTTTGTACCCCATGGATGATCCCAAGTCCCCAGCACGTTCAAAAGACGACATCGATGGAGGTGGAGGCGAGGGTGTCCGACTCCTCACCCGAGTCGGACGCGGCCAGCTTCATCGAAGTGCCTGAGCAATCACTGGTCGAAACGGTTGATGTGGATTATCCAGAAGGGTATTTTCAGCGTGGTAAATGTAGCATCAGACGCCACATACGCCAGTTCTTTCTCACAGGACGAACAAAATTTCGGGGCTGGCACCGAGGAGCAGCTGGCCCACTACTGCTGCAGAGCCTCTCGGCCAGAGCGTCAACTCACGGATTTAACCATGATGAAACCAAACTTTTTCGGCCACAGCTTTCAACAGCAGGCGTCCAGATGCTTGCCACGAGGTGTGAAGGCGCCCCGTGATGGTTCAGACAGCTTTCGTGCCGCTGGCGATTCGATGCGATGCGATGGAAAACCGGTCCTGGGGGAGTGGTCGGAAGGTCGGGGACCTGTAGACGTCGGCTATTTGGGAAGGAGTTGGCTTCTCGTCCTCGGCGGAAGTCAGTTGAAATGCTGTCAATTCAGGAGTTGCCAACTCCACTGCTCACGCAACCATCCCATGGCCTCCCACACGCAACTTGCTTGGCACACACTCATGCGGCCACGATTGCGGTTGCCGGTTGGCACGCATTTGTGTGGGCGCGCTGGCGCGCGAACGCTCGCGCGCAGAGCGACCAGCTGGTTCGGCACAAATGATGCGGTCCCGATGGCGCTTATCGGTGGGATCTTCCCAGCGCGTTTTCAAGGCCGCGCTGGCGCGCGGGCGCTCTGGTGCGGTGCGGTGACTGGGGCGGGAGCGGATCCATGATGATGTCGACAGCGGCGGTGCCGATGATGATTTGAGTGAGCTTGTGCCGGGGTCTGAGTCATCCTGACTCCCGGCGCGCGAGATAAGGAGCCCGCCAATCACTTCTGTTTCCGGACAGTCCAAGAAATCCAGCGACGAATTCCATACCGGCGCTCTCGCGTGGGACATCCTCAGAACACCGGCCCCCTGAGTCTCTCCAAGGAGGCCTTCAGAAGCCCCCTTGTTCAGTTTCCAGGAAATCCAGTAGATCAGGCGACGCTTTCCAAAACCGGCGCCCTCGCGCGTGTTATCCGGAAATGGAGGTCGAGATGGAAGGGTTAGCTACGGGGGGGGAACAGGGAGGAGAGGGAGAAGGATAGGGAGACGGTCTTTGCCTCCAACCTCGATCCCCCTCCCATTCTCTTTCAAACCTCGCCATCATCCTCCCACCTCCCCGCCCCATGCTCCCTCATCCTCCTCCCTCCCCCCCTCCTCATTGTTTCTTTGTTCTCCCTGCGTGTCTTGTCCCTCCTTCCCTCCCTCCTCTGACCTTTTTAAGCGCAGTTCATCGGGCAAGCCCGTTCAAGCCGCTTCTAGGTCATGGCCGCATTATATTTACTCCCTCACTCCTCCGCATCCTCCTCCTCCTCCTTTCCCTCTTTCTGCCACGCTCCACGGTCCACGTCCTCCTCCTCCTCCTCCTCCTCCTCCTCCTCCTCCTCCTTCTCCTCCTCCTCCTCCATCCCTCCTCCATCCCTCGTCCTCGTGCTCCTCCTCCTCCTCCTCCTCTTCCTCCTCCTCCTCCTCCTCCCCCTCCATTCCTTCTCCTTATAGGTATCCTCCCTGTCGCACCCCGAGGCCAGTTTTTTGGGCGGGCCGGGCGTTTTGCCTGGGACTTCCTCACCACTGGGGCTTCTGAAGCTTAAAAAGTGACAACAGTTTCACAGATGGAGGGCGGGTGGTTTTCAAAATGTGGCTATCGCGTTAGCGCCCCGCACATTTGTTTTCAAACTTTGCAAGAATTTCGCGGATGGAGGGCGGGTCGTTTTCAAAATGTGGTTCTCGCTTTAGCACCGCGCACATTCGTTTTTAAGAATTTGCCAGATTTTCACGGATTGAGGGCGGCTCCTTTTCAAAATGTAGTTCTCGCCATAGCGCCGCGCACATTCGCTTTGAAAAATCGCAAGAGCTTCACGGGTTGAGGGCGGCTCTTTTTCAAAATGTGGTTCTCGCCTCAGCGCCGCGCACATTCGTCTTTTGTATAAAAAATGCAAGAGCTTCACGGATTGAGGGCGGCTCCTTTTCAAAATGTGGCTCTCGCCTCAGCGCCGCGCACCTTCGTTTTCAACATGTGCAACATGTTCACGGATTCCCATGATCAACGCACCAGAAATGGTGTTTTGGAAGGAGTCAGGACTATGCGGGCGCAACAGTTCTGTTGATTTGCTGTGCTGGGGTCCCAAAAATGGCGTTTTGGCACGATTCTGGATCGTCAATACGCAGCAGTCAGGTTGATACGTGGCGCTGAAATCCCAAGACAAATGTTTTGGCACGTTTCAGGATCTTCAAACTGCTGTCTTCCAACGAGGCAGTTCCCCCAATGGAAATGAACCGCTGTAGGAGCCTGTGAAGAGGGAGCTTGGAGGGAGCGTTCATTCCAACACCGTTGATGACTCTTGGGTTTCCACTGCTCCTCCTCCTCCTCCTCCTCCTCCTCCTCCTCCTCCTCCTCCTTCCCCTCCTCCTCCTCCTCCTCCTCCTCCTCCTCCTCCGCCTCCTCCTCCTCCTCTTCCTCTCCTCCTCCTCCTTCCCCTCGTCTTCACGCTTCCCCCGCCGGCCACCGCCCGAGCCTGGAGCGGCCCGCGCGCGCCGCCGGCAGGAGCCGGCAGCCCAGGCCGCCCGATCACCCGCCTCTGCAGAGGCGCCCGGCGGGGAGGTGTCACCGAGCGCGGTCCACTCCTCGCAGAGTGCCTACTCGCAAACGTACGAAAAAAAAACACGTCTGTTCCAATGTAATGGAGGAGGATGATTAAAAAATGACCGGGGGTCGTGTTCACGCGGCGGCGCCCGGGATGATGATTAGAAAAATCCGGCCCCGGGCTGGGAAACTATTTTTTTAATGGTCTCCCCCCCCCGCCGTCCTCGGGCGCGTGCCCCCCCCGGTGACGAAACACCGCACAGGCGAGCCCTGCTTCTGAGCGTTCCCCCCCGGTGTGGGAAACTATTTTTTTAATCGTTCCCCCCCCCCTTTTTTTCTTAATCGTCATCCCACTCGTAGATCCCCCACGGCGGATCCAGGCCATTTGCGAGCAGTTTCTCTGCGAGTCGTGGAGCACGCTCGTCTAAGGTGGCAGAGGGGGCAGAGGGGCAGAGGGGGCGAGGACGGGAGCGAGAGGGATGAGGAGACGAAGGACCCGCCGCCATCTGCGCGGCGCAGCCGTCGTGCCATGGCGTTGGAGCCGCCGTCTCCATGGAGCTGGGCGCTCGCTTGTGCTTGTGCGCCCGGGCGCAGTTCTTCTCGCGCCGATCGAATGCCACCTTGCGGGAAGAAGGAGGAGGAGGAGGAGGAGGTGGAGGTGGAGGAGGAGGAGGAGGAGGTGGAGGAGGAAAAGGCGGCGGAGGAGGAGAAGAAGGAGGACGGGAGGGAGGATGAGGAGAATGGGAGGAGGGACAAGGGATGGGGGATGCGGGACGTGGGCCAGTGAGATGACGATAGCGATAGCGCTAGCGTTGACGATGACGATGACGATGATGATGATGATGATGATGATGATGATGATGATGATGATGATGATGATGCTCATGATGATTGTGATGATGATGATGTTGATGATGATGATGGTGATGGTGATGGTGATGGTGATAATGGAGGTGGTGCTGCCGATGCTGACAATGATGATTATGATGATGGTGGTGGTGATGATGAGGCTGGTGAGGATGCAAATGATGAGTATCATGATGGTGATGGTGATAATGATGGTGAGGTTGATGGTGATGGTGATGATGGTGGTGAGTGAGATGGTGATGCTGATGATGATTGTGAGGTGGTGATGGTTATGGTAATGGTGATGGTGATCATAATGATGATGGTGATGGTGACGGTGGTGATGACGGTGGTGGTGATGATGATGCTGTTGCTGAGGACGATTGCGATGCTGGTGATGATGATAATGTTGATGCTGATCTTTGTGATGATGATGGTGGTGGTGATGATGCTGGTGCTGATGACGATGACGAGGATGGTGACGATGATGGTGACGTTGATGATGCCGAGCCAATGACTAGGATGATGATGATGACGATGATGATGCTGATGATGATGGTGGTGATAATGATGATGATGACTATGACGATGACGATGATGGTGATGTTGATGCTGATGACGGTGATGATGATAATGATGATGATGATGATGGTGATGTTGATGATGATGCTGATGATGCTGATGATTATGATGATGATGATGCTGATGATGATGATGACGACGACGATGATGATGATGATGACGATGATGATGATGATGCTGATGACGATGATGATGATGATGATGGTGATGATGATGATGATGCGATGACGATGATGATGATGATGATGATGATGATGATGATGATGATGATGATGATGATGATGAGGGCCGCCAGTTACTCAGAGGGCCGCCAGTCACCAAGAATGTTGCGCCACGCACTTTGGCCGTCCCTGTCGCGGCTTCCTTCGAGCGGAGGCCAGAACGGGGGCGAGGAGTGCATCCACCGCCCTTCTCCTGCTCGGGGCCGCCCTCTGCCGGAGCGCCCGCCGGCCCTCGACCGTGGGAGGAAGGGGCGGTGGCGGCGGGAGGGCGGTTCCTCTTGGGCTGCTTGCGATCTGGGCGTGCCCCGGGTGGCCCTGGAAGGAGAGCCCCCCTCCTCCTCCTCCTCCTCCTCCTCCTCCTCCTCCTCCTCCTCCTCCTCCTCCTCCTCCTCCTCCTCCTCCTCCTCCTCCTCCTCGCCATCCTCCTCCGAAAAAGGGCTGGCACGGGGAGGACTCCGTCCCAGAGCGTTCCGAAGCGCTCTCGGCGCGGTCCGAAGCGCTCTCGGGGCCTTCCAGGACGCTCGGAGGAGGCCGCGGCGCCCGAGACATCCTCCAGCGCCGCCGGATCCCAGAGAGTCTCGGTGTATCCTCGCCCGATGTTATCCTTGCCTTGAGTCGGGCGTGTCCCCTATCCTTGCCCTGGCCTCGTCGCGAGCCTGGCAGCCGGCGGCCGTGTCGCCGACGGGCCCGCCGCTCGGCGCTCTGCCCGGTGCTCGCGGGGCTCCCTCGCTGCGGCCGCCGCCGCGTCGCCGAGGCCGCCGTGTCGCCGGGCGCCCGCGGGGTCGCCTCGCCGCTGCCGCCTGACAGCCGCGCCCGCTTCCCAGAGATCCAACGCATTGAGAGAAAATCAAGACGGAGGTCTTTCGCAGTTTTTGGCCTCTGGGGGCCCTCGCTGCGCCCTGCAGGGCCGTCCAAAACCGGCTCGGGACGAAAACTCGGTCCGGGGGGATGGGTCGAGATTCCTGGGGACCCCGCACTGAAACAATTCAGGAGGGGAAAAACACACACAGACACAATTGATCGTCGATTCCCGTGAAAATATAGGAAATATGGGAAGTGGGGGGGAGACAAAAATCCAGAAAATATGGGGAATATGTTTATTTGTGTGTATTTATTTGTGTGTCCCAGGGCCCCTTCAAAAATCACGACATCGGTTCTTTGGGTTCGCAGCCTCACAAAACAGGAGTTTCTTGGAGGCCCAGGGGTGAACACCAGCACCAACATCGGTGGTGCGCCTCCACCCGGGGACGATGGTCCCGAGCTCGGTGATGTGGTAATGTTCGGGCTCTACGAGGCCGAAGTATTACCACCAACACCATGATCTAAGGTCATCGTCCCATGGTGCAGGCAAACCCCTAGGCTGGTGTTGGTGCCGGTTTCCAGGCCTCCAAGATCCTCCACAATTGAGAGAGATCTAGGCCTCTTAGATAGGGTCCGCGTAGCTGGGGTCGGAGGATCGCGCCGCATCGCCGATGCATCGCCGATGCGGCTCGATGTGGAGCCCCGTGTTTCCCCACGCCGACGTCGCCGATGCATCGCCGATGCATTGGCCATGCGGCGCGATCCGTCGACCCCATCTTGTTCGGACCCCGTATAGGAGGCCTCTAGGGCCTTAGGGAGATGACCCTGAGATCACGGAACCTAATTTTTGTTTCAAGCTGGGCATCTGCGCCTGGTTTCGGCCTTCGGGGGCCCCTCAGATGGGTGCGGCTCGAGAAGTGTCGCAGAACAATGGGGTCTGGGGCTCCAGCTTTGATTGCTTACGATGATCCATACTTCTCCGCGCCGTCGGATCTCAGGGAAGCTCTTTGTCGAGTACGCCGTTCCTCTAGGCCTCCTAGATGGGGTCGGAGTAGATGGCGTCGGAGGATCGTGCCGCATCGCCGATGCATCGGCGATGCATGGGCGATGCGGCTCGATGCGGAGCCCGATCTGCTTCACGCGGACGTCGCCGGTGCATCGCCGACGTCGCCGGTGCATCGCCGTTGCATCGCCGATGCATCGCCGACGCGGCGCGCTCCTCCGACCCCATCTACTCCGACCCCACCTACAACCCTCGTCGAAATGAAACGCAAGTTTGTTCCACCCCCGTCGCCCCCAAATTTCACTGTTCATCGACAGGCGCATCGCGGCCGGCGGGGTCCGAAGAACATGTCGGAGTCGCCGGCGTCGGCGTGAACATTGAAATTGGGGGTCGGGGGGCGCCGCCAGGTCGCGGCAAAAACTTGCGTTCAATTTCGACGAGGGATGCAGGAGGCCTCTAGTTCAGCCGCCGCTGCTGCACGCGCGGGCTGCGCTGAGCGTCTCTGCGATTCGGGCCCGTGGGCCCTTTGGCGCCATCGCTCCTGGCAGCGACCTGCACGTGGAGGGGCTGGTGTCGCCGAGCAGCGCCGACGCCCGTGCTTGGAGCCGCTCCTGGCGCCGCTCCCCTCGGCGACCTGCGGCCAGTCGGCGGGTTGCCGAGCACGACGCGCTTCTGGGGAGACAACAAGGGTACACATTGTTCATTTCTGATTCTTCGAAAGTTCTTTGATTTTTTCTATTTCCTGGCGCCACTAGGGGGCCAGGAACAACTAGAAACGAGCACAAGTAGAGATGAGCACAACTAGAAATGAGCGACGTGTGCCGATACCGCTGCTCCCCGCACCTCTGCCGGGGTGCGCTCCGACCAGGCTGTCGAGCCCCGCCCATGCGGCGCCGGCGAGGGCCTCCCCGGGAGGCCGAAGAGAGGGGGGCAAGCGCGAGGGAGGGCTGCAGCGGTAATTAACTGGGTGTGCCTCTTCCTCCCCCGAGCTGCTGGCAGGTGTTGGGCTCGGTACAGGGGCGCCCCTCCTGTACAGGAGGGCGCTCCCAGGTGGTGGCGGCACATCAAGCAGCGCGAGGGGCAGGAGATCGCAGAGCACGGACGCGTCCTCGTGCCCCCGAGGCCGAAACCGACGGGTCCCCCTATGCTGCCGCGGCCGACGCTGCCGCCCCGCTCGGGCCGCCCCCCCGCGGCTGCGGTCGCAGGGGCGCGGTCGGCCCCGGCCGCCGCGCGGGCCGCGCCCCTCGCCCATCGGTCTCTCGCCTGGCCTGCGAGCGCAAAGTTCTCTGGCTTGGGTGGAGCTTCGGACGATGATGATGCTGACGATGATGCTGATGATGCTGCTGATGATGATCGTGTTGATGATGATGATGATGATGATGATGATGATGATGATGATGATGGTGATGGTGATGGTGATGGTGATGGTGATGGTGATGGTGATGGTGATGGTGATGGTGATGGTGATGGTGATGATGATGGTGATGGTGATGGTGGTGGTGGTGATGATGGTGATGATGATTAAGATCATGATGATGATGATGATCATGGTGATGATGATGATTAAGGTCATGATAGTGATGATGCTGCTGATGGTGGTGATGATGGTGGTGAGGAGGACGGGTGTGATAATGATGGCGATGCTGATGATGATGACCATGCTGGTTGTAGACATGCTGATGATGATGATGTCGATGATGAGCATGATGACGCTGATGATTGTGCTGAGTATGGTTATGATGATTTTGGTGGTGGCGAGGATGGTGTTAGTGATGATTGTGATGGTAGTGATTGTAATGGTGATGGTCGTCGTGCTGGTGACGGTGGTGATGAGGATGAGGATGACGATGACGATGATGTTGGTGATGGTGGTGATGATGTTGATGATGATGTTGATGATGTTGACGGTGATGCTGACGTTGACGGTGATGGTGATGATGATGATGATGATGATGATGATGATGATCAGGGATGAAGATGATGGTGACAATGACGGCGGTGACGACGATCACGATCACGAAGAGGAGAAAAGGGAGGGATGCGGATGATAAGGGGGAGGAACATTGGGGGAAGCGGAAGAGGACGCAGCGGTTTTCCCGTCCATTTTGTTTCGCTTCTTTCGTGCTTGGGAAACGCGGCCATGTCGGACGTGGTCGGGTAGCGAGCGAGCAAGCGGGGAAGAAGAGGAGGAGGAGGAGGAGGAGGAGGAGGGGGAGGAGGGGGGCATCGGCTTGGCGAGGATGGGAGGAGGTCCTCCTCCCATCCTCGCCAGCCAAATATCCCTCCCACAGCTCCTTCCCCTGCTCCGCCTCCTACCTCCTCCTCGCTCTCCTCTTGCTCCCCCTGCTCCTGAAGCAGGAGGGGAAGGAAGAGGAGAAGGAGGGGGAGGAGGGGGAGGAGGGGGAGGACGAAGAGAAGGAGCAAGGCGAGCATGATGAGGAGAAAGACGAGCGTGAGGAAGAGGAGGAGGAGGAGGACTTGTGTAAACCCAAGACTCATCAACAATGTTGGCGTATTCCCTCCCTCATATTCACACTGCGTAGGCCCCTACAAGGATTCCTTTCTATTGAAGGAAGTGCCACGTTGGGGGACAGCCGTGTGCAAATCCTGAAGCGCGCCAAAACACAATTCTCAGGACTTTCACACCACGAGTCACCCTGACCTTTGCGTCTGGGCGACCCTGAATGCCAGAACACCGCATCAACATAATCGTTGCGCCCTGACAATCCTGGCGATATCAACATTCTGAAAACGACCCGCCGTCAATCGGTGAAACTCTTGCACACATTTCAAACAAATGTGCGCGGCCCTGAGGCGCGAACCACATGTGAAAACCTCCCGCTTTCGATGTGTGAAGCCGTTGTCAGCTGTTCAGCTCGAAGATCATAAATGGCAAGGGTGTCTCAGGCGAAACGCCCGGCCCGCCCTTCCGACTGGTTTCGGGGTGCGACAGGGAGAAGCTTCCCCCGATAAGGAAAATGAATGGAGGGAGGGTGAGGAGGAGGAGGAGGAGGAGGAGGAGGAGGAGGACGAGGAGGAACAGGAGGAAGAGGAGGAGGAGAAGGAGGAGCATGAGGAGGAGGGAGGAGGAGGAGGAGGAGGAGGAGGAGGAGGAGGAGGGGACCGGGGGGATCGGGGGATCGGGGGGCGAGGGAGGGAGAGCGCGACAAGTGGCGATTTTCGGAGGAGGTGCCCTCCCGTCACCAACTCTCCCGTCCCCCCCTCTTTTCCTCCTCCTCCACACTCCTCCTCCTGTCCTTCTCCTCCTCCTCCTCCTCCTCCTCTCTCCTCCTCCTCCTCCTCCTCCTCCTCCTTCCCTCCTCCTTCATCATCATCCTCATCATCATCATCATGCTCGCCTTTCTCATCATCATGCTCGGTTTGCTTCTCGTCCGCCTCCTCCTCCTCCTTCTCCTCTTCCTTCTCCTCCTCATCATGCCCCTCACTCACTCCTGCCTCCTCCACGCTCCTCCACCATGCCTCGTGCCTCCTGCCTCGCCTCGTCCGCCGTCGTCCTACTCATGCTCCTCTTCTTGCCCCCCCCATGCCCCCCCCGCCACTGCTGCTCCTCCTCGTCATCACCCCTCCGTTTTCTGTCCCTGCCCCCGCCGATGTTTCACCCCGCGGCTGCTGCCGCCGCCGTTGAGCAACTCCAGCGAAGGGGTGGTGGATGATCGCAATATTGGTGCTATTCGTGTGCTTGCAGACATGTTGTCCATCTGCACCCCGTACGTTTCACTCTTCTTGTGTCTCTTCTCCTTGCGTTCCAGGGCGACCTCGGATGCTCGCCCCTCGGCGCAACGCATCGCAAAGGCCGTACATCCAGCAGGGCGCGTTGGCACGACAACCGCTGAAGGCCGCCGAGGGAAGACACGTCGAACATTACACCTCAGACATCGTGCTGGGAGGGATGCTCGCTCCTCGGCGGCGCAGTCCAGACCCGCAGCCGCCGTCGCCGCCGCCGCCGCCGCGCCGCGCCTCCTCTGGCCGGGCCGGGCCGAGGCACTTCGAGGCGCACAGGCAGGATCAGATGGCCGTGGAGCAGGAGGCGTTCGCGCGCGTGCGCCCAGTGTGGGTCGTTGTCGTCGCCGTCGTCAGCGTCGTCGTCGTCGTCGCAGTGCTGATCGTCATCGTCGCCGTAATCGTCGACGGCGTGCTCGTCGACGTCGTCGTCGTTGTCCTCGTCGTAGTCAACGTCGTCGTCGTCGTCGTAGTCGCCGCCGTCGTCTTCGTGCTCGTCGCGGGGGAGGGGCGGGCATCTCAGTGGAGGAGAAGCTGCCGATCCTCGCTCTGGGCCTCCCACGTGGGGCCCGAGTGCCAGACGGGCCGAGTGCCGAAGAGCGAGGTCGGTTCGGGGAGGGTGCCCTCATCAAGGGCTCCCTCGAGGGCGCGAAGTTATTCGCGCTTCGCGCTTCGCGGTCCTCGTTCCTTCTCCCCCTCCTCCTCGTCCTCCTATTCTCCCTTTGGGAGGGCGGCGCGAGAGCGCGAAGTTATTCGCGCTTCGCGCAGCGCGAAGCGCGAAGTTGGGAGCCCTAGCTCATGGTCTTCGGGTCTGTTGGGTGTTCTTGTGCACCCTGGGGGAGGAGGGTGCCCTCGAATGCTCTTCATTTTGGCCGGCGGAGGGCCTCGTGTTCTCGAAGGGTGTTGCTGTGTCCTGGGTTCGACTGGTGGGGCCGAAGGATCGCCCCGCATCGCGGCTGCATCGGCGATGCGGCTCGGTGCGGGGCCCGATCTTCTCCTCGCCGACACCGCCGATGCATCGCCGAGGCATCGGCGATGCGGGGCGATCATTCGACCCCCACTCGGGCCCCATGTTGGAGGCCTCTAGCTGCTCGTCCTGGGGAGTTCGCCGCCACGGCTGGATTCTCCTCGAAGTCCAATCATACACACCCCGGGGCGGAGGAGGAGGAGGAGGAGGAGGACGACGAGGACACGGCCAGCGTCCTCCCTGAGGAGGAGGAGGAGGAGGAGAAGGAGAAGGAGGACGATGGAGGGATGAGGAGGAGGAGGTGGAGGAGGGGGAGTTGGAGGAGGGGGAGGAGGGGGAGGAGGAGGAGGAGGAGGAGGAGGAGGAGGAGGAGGAGGAGGAGGAAGGAGGAGGCAGGAGGAGGAGGAGGAGGAGGAGGAGGGGGAGGAGGAGGAGGAGGAGGAGGAGAAAGAGAAAGAGAAAGAGAAAGGGAAAGAGAACGAGAAAGAGGAGCAGCGGTATCTGTGCCTCTTTGCCGCCCTCAGGGGGGGGGGGCGCGGCGGCCGCCCACGGCCTGGGCTGTTGCGCATGGCAGGCCTCGGGCCTCGCGCCCGGCACGGCGAGGGGCTCGACGTACACACGCCACGCCGCTCGGTCGGCCAAAGAACAGCAACATCGTCGCAGGCGTTCGGTGCTCAATGGGCGCTCGGAGACGTTGGCTCAGCACGCCGCCCCGCCGGATCTGGCCCACCACGCTCCGGCGCGACTCGCGCTAGGCGACGGTGCGGTCCCCGGGCGCCGAAGCCCGAAGCATTCCCGAGCCCCCCGCCCCGCGGAGCAGAGCGACACGCCACCCGCTCGCAGGACACAGCGTGTCGCCGGGGCGGCCGCGGCTACACGCCGAGCAAAAGTTCCTCTGACCATGCATGCTCCAGCATCCCACAGGCTGGGACGCCGGGGCGCCTACAGTGGAGACCCATGCCAAGAAACACCCTGCTTGCCTCTAGGGTGCCCTGGGTGGCAAGCAGGGTGTTTCTGTGGAGGCGTGACGTTCCCTCACCAAAAATCTATGGACGTCCTGGGGTCTCAGGGTAGGGTTTCTTGTGGGAGGTCTCTTGTGGGAGGGCCCCTCTTTTCAAATCGGGCATGTCCTTCTACAGGGGAAAATTCAAAAGTAGTTAAATAATAGTCGGGGAACGATTTTTTTGTATTCTTGATTATGTTTGGGTATGTTTTGATTGTTAAATACACCTGTAGTAAGAAATGCCCGACCTAGTCCCTCGGCCGACCAGACGGCTTGGTGTCTACTTCGAGCCCACCCACCCCAGCGGGGGGGGGCAGCTACGCGGCTGCCGCCGCGGCGGGCGGGGGGTCCAGGCAGACCTCGGGGGCTTGGCACGGTGGCTCCGCGCGTGTCTCGGCGGCGGTGGCGTCGGTGATCGCGCCGGTTGGCGGCGATGGTGGTGAGCATCGTTGATCTGGTCCCTGCCCCAGTGGCGTGGCCTTGGCCCCACTGGCAGACTTGCGCACCTTGGTGGGGATGTGATCCCAGGCTCAGGGTTCACAGTCCCCCTCCTCCCCCAGTGGGATTGGCCCCAGGGTTCCACGGCCCACCCACCCCCCCCGAGATGGAACGGGGGGGGGGGGGAAGGCGACGACGACCGCCTGCACACATCCGAGGTTGACCCTATCACAACGGGTTGGGCACACCCGTGGTGAGGCTGAGGCCAAGGGTGCTTGGGGAACGAGTTGACCGGACCAGCCCTGCGACCTTGATCTCGGAAAGCTCTCGGCGGAAGCAGCGCAACGGGGGGGCGGGGGGGGGGGCGATCCCATTCGGGATGCCTTCGCGAGGCTCTCGGGCGTACCCATCCAGCGGGGGGGGGGATCGGTCCAATTCGTATTGAGGGGGGGGGGAGGTAACCCTGGGTCATACATGCCTCTTCCTTCGTATCTCGTGGGGCCTATCCCACCTACGGTGTTGGGCTGATGGGTTTGACATACCATGGCCCAGTGGGGATGGAGGTCGGTTGGACGATGCTGAGATGGGTGTGATGAGCGGGAGGACGATGATGGTGATGGTGGTGATGAGGGTGATGATTGGCGGCGATGGTGGTGGCGATGGCTTCTGCCGCGCGGCCACCCAGCGCTGGGTGCATCGAGATCCTTATCCAACAGAACGTGCACGAGGGCCAGAGACCCAAAAGGCGATGATAATGAGGAGGAGGAGGAGGAGGAGGAGGAGGAGGAGGAGGATCAATGTCACCGTCAGCACAAGCAGTGACCCCGAAGCCGCGCACATGGTAAGTCCGAACAAGCACACGACCTCGGCGAGGGCAGCTCTCCTGCAGGCCTGCCGCGTCGTGCGGCCGATCGGCCCTGCGGCGAGCGGGGCTAAACGCAACGTTCTGAGGCCGCGCGTCGCGCCTCCAGCTCTGGCCCTCCACGCTGCGGCGCGACTCGCGAGCCACGTCCCAGCCCCCAGGGGCGTCAAAGTGCCGAGCGAGCCTCTCGAGGCCGGCCGCGCCGCGGAGCAGAGCGGAACGCCAGCGGCGTGCGGTGCCCGGCACGTCGCCGGGGACCCCGCCGCGACACGCTGAGCAGAAGGTCTCTCCCGCGGGGGGCGCGAAGACGGCCGTGTGTCGCGGCCGAGCTGGCCTGCGTTCGCGGGGTCGTGCGGCACGCGAAGAGGTTGCCGAGCCTCGCGCAGCACGGGTTCGGATGGTCTGGATAGTACAGGTGTGGCGGAGTGTGGCACGGGCGGCGATGGCAGAAGTGGCGACGGCGGTGGTTGGGATGGGCATGGTGACGATTATGGCGAGGGAGGAGGTGATAT